TGTCATTGGAGACCCAGCTTCAGAAGGGAGATCAACAAAGATGAAACAAAACATGAAGCAGGTGGTGTGGTAGGGCGTGGTTTTGCAGAGCCAGCCGTCAGCACCACAGCCGAGAACAAATGTGTCAGCTGTACGACGTAACGGCGCTTCGCTGCCGTGCGACCATCAACAGTTGCACGCGGGCTGAGTATACCGCGAGGACCCCATCCCTACGCGGATTCGAACCCGCGCCGCAAGATTAGGAGACAAGCTCGTTACTTCTAGGCTACTGGCCGACCACCTCAGCCGAAGAAAGAGACGGTACGGCAGGGTTACATGGGTTCATTTCTAAGTATTGTGTGCACATAAGGCTTCCTGGTTGTATAGGCCAAGGAAGAGGGTTGACTAAGGGGACTACACACGGAGCCTCAGCACGTAAAGATCTGACCTGTAAGGGGCGAACCGTCAGGAGCCGATAATATGACTGTCGAGTAGTAACAACCTACGCAGCAAAGTGATCAGAAAACGTTTGCTAAAACTTCCAACCAGCCGCTGAATACGAATATGTATCAGATTCGCAATAAAGTGGAATACCTGTAGCTCGGGTTGCCTGTTCTCCGAGCTGAACTATTTTACTGCAGACGTTCCAATCAAGGTGACTTCGCAGGATAGAATCACATTGTAATACTGAGGAAGAAAAACGCGAAGGAAAGCGTCCTTCATGCGCAACGGATACCCACACAATTTCATCTGACTACAAAGACTACAAACGCCACACCCGAAGCAACAACAACGAAACGGATCGCTTTGCCCTACATCAAGAACGTATCGGAAATGACTGCTTGACTCCTGTTGTTAGCTCACATACTAACCGCTACTCTGAAAGCAACCCTATCTAGACCGAAGGGGAAGACCAGAGCACACGAACGTCGGAATGTTGTCTACAGGATACAGTGTAAAAATTGTGATAAACACTATGTGGGCCAAACAAGGAGAAAGTTATCTACAAGGTTGCAGGAACACAAGCGAGTCTGTCGAAACCATTACTCATCATCATTGGTCTCGACACACGGTGAAGAAAAGCACATGTTTGATTGGAAGAAAAAGATCCTAGCGCAAGGAGAGACAAGAAAATGAAGAGAATTTCTAAAAGCACGGTTCTCTACGGAGAACTGAATAAACCTGCGCATTGACATAGATCCGATATACCATCATTTGAGAAAAATATGAATTTAAGGCGAGTCATTCACCATACGAGTATGAAAGAGGCGGCGATCGAACTGCGAGCTAGCAATGGTCACGGGACGTGAATCTAAGTGGCCAAGTTCAAACATCACTCTGTCATCGGTTAAGGGTCGACAAACCAATGAGTTTGCTTACCGCGCATTGATGAAGTCACCTCGATTAGCGATGAGACGTCTGCAACGAAATAGTTCATCTATCTGCTTCATTTGCGGCCCCATTGATCGAATTAAACAAGGTTCTCATTGAGAGTGCGCGTCGCAATCCATCTACACAACGCGGATTTCAAAACGACTCATACACTCAGCCATTAACCGTTGTGTCAAGCGTTTCTCGTCGCGACTCGGTGGCTTAGGGGTAGAGGTCTTGGCTCACATTGCAAACATCCCAGGTTCAAATTGCGGCGCCGCTATCTTTACCCAATGAGTCCGGATGCGTACGAGAACGGTCGTGGAGTGCAGTGTCGTAAGCGCGCATTATCCCAAACTCATCTACGGTTGCACACGCGGAAAATATTATGCTGTTGAGAAAAACTAGATCATCAGTCGAATGCGCGTTGATATCATCATAACGCACCGGATAGTACACCTGGGTGATTACCCCATGTTTAGGCCGTTGCTTCATCTGCCCACACCAACCAGCACACGAGGCCACCGGAACAAATTTGTCGTATCGGATTTGAAGCTGGTCGCTCACCAACTCTTCTTCGAGCGTAAGGTAGTGGATATCTGGAACAACCTGCCTGCAGACAGAGTCGATGCAAAATCGGTGTCGGAGTTTAAGAAACTCCAGGACTCGCAATTTGCCGACTTGAGATTTCGAGGATAATAACCATCATAATAGGATATTAGATATAGTTACACAGAGGTAACTACTCGCTGCATATTCTCAGTATTCAGTCAGGGCCATGAAGAAACGTACGTTTCAAGTTTAGGAGAAGGATGAGATGTAGTTTCGGACGGATGGGCATCAACTAAAGTTGCAACATAACAGGGCAAGCTGACTAGATACCAAGCACGAGCAGCACAGCGAATATCCTCAAACAAGTAACACGAGCTTCTTTAGAAGAAAAATCGTTCGTTCGCTGATCCAGGCGCTGGACATCACCGAAAATTTCCCTGCATCAGACAAAGTCCCAGTGATGGAAATAATCAATACTTAGTTCAAAAAAACGCTACTATAAGCTGAGTTGGTCCGGTGATCCAATCGCGTGGTACAGATGAGTACTGATACCGAATTGCGCTGTAACCAAGACTCGTTCGACATGAGCTAAACTGTGCAGGCTCCAGTGGTCAAACGCAACTAGCCTCCTCACGTTTTTCGATTTTGTGGGCCAGGTCTCACAGCTGTATTTCCAATGCCGATATGACCAGAAGACGATCCCAATGGCCTAAGTGCTGTGAAATTCTTCATCAAGTCCCAGCCTACTTAGTTTTCCTTCCAACTACGGTCAAGTCATCAGTGAATATTGTGAAACAGAGAATAATATTTTTCTGTTTTCCTTATGTTCTTTATTCTTTGTTGATAGCAATTAATTGAATGGTATCGCTGCACAATAACTGAGGCAGTTCCCACACCTAGCTAACGTATATGATGAGGACGACAGTATAGTCGGAAAGTGTGACATTAAGCACGCTTTTCGCGTTTTAGACCGCTACATGCTCAAACGAGTACCGTTATTCATTCACTTCATTTGCATGCACCTTTCTCAGTCACGCTTGCATCAGACTACTATTAACATTACTGTTACTGTTAGCTGTTTCTGCCCGCCGACATCACGCTGCAAACATAGTCGTGAGTGCTGTTCTGTAAATTATTCTGTTCTCTAGAATCACAGTTAAAGGTATCACAAATGCTACTGTCCAAACCGTTTTCTGTCCAGACCATGCGTATAGTCTAGGTTTATAGTTCGAAGTGGATATATTTATATACAATACGTACCAAGTAATTATATGTAGCGAAGTTCAGTCATTACTACGATAACGATAATGAGGATAGTGGCAGCCAGTACTAACCTATCCAGTGATGCTTGACACGTTTGTAAGCTGTCACAGATAAGGAAAATATCATCAGCAGCTCCACACCTGAATCATATGTGGTGGACGCAGTCTCCGTGACTTCGTCATTCGCGAATTCAGAGAGGAAGGGTGACAGCAGGCATCCATGTCTCACGCTATTGGAGATATTGAAGTGAGGCTACAGCTTTTCATAGGTCCTCATTCTGCCCTAGCTATGCGCACAAAACGCCCTTACAAAATTTACTTATTTCTTGGGCACACATTTCCTAAACAGGCATTCCCAAAGAGCACATCGATCCATCGAGTCGAAAGGCACTGGTGTCGAGGAGTAGGACTACGGTGGGTCGCTAGTGTATATAGCGGTGTTTCAATAATTGGTGAAAAAGGAAAATGCTATCAATGCAGCATCGATTCCGACAAAACATGGCTCTCTTCACGAATCTGCCTTTCACGGGAATCATAGGAAGCACAGAACTAGAAGCTTACAGCTGGATTACTGGTAAGCAGAAAATATCGATCGAAAGGTCTCTAATGTTCGGGCAAGTGCTGCCTGTTGACGGTCTGCAAGAAAGTGCGAACGCTGAAGCATGCCAGTCCTAGTGTGGGTCGAGGGCACCAAGCAGAAGCGGCCGAACCGGCGCTGAACAACAATTTGATGACGGGGTCGAAAAGTAGAGAATAGAAGTGAATCTGTAACCGAGCGAGAAGGATGAAGAAACCGTAAGAAGGGGGAATTAGAAGATGGGGAGGCCTTAGCAGTTGCTTTCTCGCCCATGTCCACCCCATCCGAGGCAACGGATATGGCATAGTAGCCTATCCCCTGTGACGGCCAGGTCATCAAGAAATTGTTTGAAGGGGAGTTCATCGTATTGCGTGGGCAGGATACTGTCAGATTGCCTAGACCGAGACAGGAAAACGATTAGGGCTCTCATCCAAAACTTTTTGTTCAAAAACCTGACCGCAGGGAGGCGGGGTTCTGTGAGTAAGCTAGAGTTTGTCTGGCCTCTGAATTTTGGTCAATCCGGTATGAGTGGCTTTGGATTGATGGCACGCAAACCATCGCACTACGTTAAAGTCCAGTCCCGGCGCAATAGCAGGCTGGATTTAGACCATCCTGGGGTTCGTATAAGTTGTAAGACGCAGACATATATGTCTACCGATGTCCCTTGAATGCAATATTGTCTACGTATGTTATATCTAACACCTGTAGTTTGTTTACACCTTAACACGCGCTTCGGGCAGGAGAGTTGTACATAAGTTGAACTGTGAGATGTAGTTTGAATGCACCTGAACAACCTATAGAACTCCGGTGTCGGTTAACAATCCGTTCATACTGTAGACTTCAGGTGGAAACGGCCTATGATGCTATCTTCGGCAATCGTAATTCTACGCAGCCGTTGTATACTTACCCACCCACCGACCGAAGAACTGCGCATTTCGTTAATCGCGAACGCACTGGTTGTAGTAATAAATTGCAACATAGTGTTGAAACCGCGCAACGATGCCCCCCCCCTCTGACCGTGCCAATGCATCGCTTGTACGCAAAGCATACATGGGAGATAATACTTGGCACGGTGGTACTTTTAACGTGGCTACAGAAAAGTAGGAATCATGAATGCGGACAATCAAGATGGTAATGCGAATCAGCAACTTACACCTACAAACGAGCAATTGGCGGTAAACTTTGGGATTGGTAGGCAACGAAAAAGAAAATTTTATCTCTCCAAAGATCACTTTCAAGAGCAAAAGTAGGTCACTAACCTGCTATAGTGACACAGCGTTCGGCTAGGTTGAGCTCTTTTGCCTTTTGAGATACTTGAATGAAAACACCAGAATTCTCCTTGACTTCCTTGATAAAACTTCCACCCTTGCCAATGATAATCCCAGCAGTACTGTTTGGGACTAGGATTTTGACCTACATTAAAACAATGAAAAGAATGAGGAATAATGAAGTGGTTAAGGAGGATAGTCCGAGTGGGACTAGGGTAACGAGAACAGAGTAGTTCCCATGAAAGAAATATCCAACTGAGAAGATGATCTATATGACACGAGTGAAGTATGCAATTATCGGAAATGCAAACGATGAAGGGGGCAAAGACAATAATGCACTTGAAGCGACGTTGGAAAGGAGTGGTGGAGGATGTCCATTATATGGACTATATGTTAGTCTTGAAGGAACGGAGCAGCGGCAGTGGGTGTGTCGACAGTCAGATGAATGCCAAAAAGCAGTTAGTAAGACAGATATGGAGTATACCCTATGGCTGAGGATCATGGTTCAACGGACGCTCAACGCAATCAAAAAGTGAGTGAAACGGTGAAAAAAATGGAGCGGCCAAAGGGGAAAAGAGATACCACTAGACATTCAAGAGAAAGGTTATGCACCGACTTACTAGCACATTTGATATACAGTAACATGTCAAACATTCTAAACATAATGACAATTACTTTTTACTGCGAAGTATGAAGATCACAGTGCTGCGACGTCTGTGGGGTCAAAGGTTTCACTCGGTCTGAAAGGTCATTTTACAGGGGCACAGTGAGGGTTGGTCTACTCAGTGTGAGTTTTGGCCCCATCGATCTGAGGCGCCTTCAAGTGTTTGATCGGATTTCAGATGGTGTTGGATGACATCAGCGTGTCCGCAACCAGTGCCAGGCAGTGATAAGCAGGCTAGTTCCTTAGAACAACAGATAGCACTGAATAAGCTGCGTTGACTTGGGCACCTATTACGTATGCCCGGTCATCGCTTACCGAAGAGGAGCTTGTTTTGTTTATAGGATGGCACAAGGCTCGAGGTGGGTAAAAATTGACTTGGCAGAGGGAAATGAAGTCAATGACGACCAAACTCGGTGCTGTTCGTCCCTCTCGCATCGAGGACATCGGCCCTGTGCGTGGCTCGAGACTTTACAAGACATGGCTCGCAGTCAACACCAATGGCGCGACTTCTGTCACCTCTTGGTAAGACTGCCAGTTTGAAGTGTTTGCAACTGAGTTATGTGCAGGGTAATGGCTGTCTTGTCGATGCTGACTTAATTTCAGCAGGATATACAACTGTTTGTGACTGTAGGTTGTTAAAACTAGGCGTAAGCGTCTTGGTCCTGAAAGTTTATTTAAGGCATTAAGGTAGTACGTTATGTCCCCTATATATAATATATTTATTCACAGTCTGTTAACAGACATTGTACCATCAGAACCATGGCAGAAGAGAAAAAAAGTGAAGATGGGAATACTAATGCGATTAAAAATATGAGAAACAACTTTTTTGGTTTTACACACGCCATTTTGTATTTTTGTTTTGTTTTGTGAATTTTTGTGTGCATCAAAAGTATGGTGAAATTGCAGAACAACATTGACGCCACTGATGTCTGTTGCGGGCCATGACGTCTAATGTTTCCAACCACTGCGATTCAGCATCTCGTGGTCCCCAATCTGGAAGGCGGACTGGTCCGACTGCCGCCAAACTTGAGGTTGCCTTCTTCATACTCCTTATCCACGTCATCGGCTGTCCACCGCGGCACTTTTTCCAATCGCTGCCTGGGAGTGCAAATAGCGCTCGATGTGGAAGGCGATGGGCTGGCATGCGCAGAACGTGCCCGAGCCAACGCATGAGATGTCGGAGAATAACGTCCTGAAGACTGGCACTATACGCCCTAAGCACGCGGTCTCGCACCTCTGCGTTGGTTACGTGGTGTTGCCACCACACGTGAGCAATCCTTCGTAGACAGCGATTGTCGAAGACTGACAGCCGCTTCATATCTTCCGAGCGAATAGGCCAAGTCTCACAGCCGTACAAGAGGACTGCACGGACGGAAGCATTGTACACCCTGCCCTTGAGCTTGAGACTGACATCACGACGACGCCATAGATGTCTCAGTTTGATGAATGCAAGGCGGACCTTTGCAATCCGTTGTGAGACTTCATCTCCAACACCGCCACCAGTCGTGATGCAACTCCCTAGATAAGTAAAGCAAGGGACTTGCTCCAGAACATGTCCAGCAATGGTGAGCGCGGGTTCAGGCACCTGCCAGTCCTGGAGCAGCGTTTTACATTTTCCCGGAGTGAAGTATAAGCCGTACTTAGACGCCTCCATCACCAAGCGGTCTAAAGCGCTCTGGACGGATTGTGGGTCGTCCCCCAGTAAGGCGATATCATCGGCGTAGTCCAAGTCCGTGACTCTGTCTCCAGGGAGGAGCTCAACACCGCAGTCCTGGAAACCTTCCAGTGCTCTTTGGAGAACATCTTCGATGGCGAAATTGAAGAGGAAAGGTGAAATAGGGCAACCTTGGCGAACACCGCAAATGAAGAGGAGTGCGTGCAGTCACGCTTGACTGTAAAGTACTTTCAGGATGGTTACAAACTTGTCGGGCACACCTTTCTTCAGTAAACAGTTCCACAACGCAGATCTATCTACTGAATTAAATGCCGCTCGGATGTCCAAAAACACTACGATTGTTGGCCGCCGGTGGATGTGACGAAGTTCAAGAACTTGCTGAAGCGTGAAGATTTGGTCGATTTAGCCGCGGCCTGGACGAAATCCGGCTTGTTCTTCTTGGGAAAACTCCTCTCTAGTCGTTGAAAGCCTGCCAAGTAGGACCGACACGAAGATTTTGGGTGCGACAGAGATTAGGGAGATTCAGCGGTAGTTGCAGCAATCGGCGCGGGAGCCCTTCTTGTGAATCGGAACAATGAACAATTCTTCCCATGAGCTCGGAACCTTCTCCTCAGTCCAAACTTTCGTGAACAGCGATAGGATTTCACTGACAAGTACACTCCCACCATTTTTAAATAGAGCCGGTGGTAGGTCGTCGGGACCCGAAGCCTTGTGGCGTTTCAAAGATTGGATTACACTTCGAATCTCTGCTTCATTTGGGGGGGCTGTGGAGACAGGCCAAGCATCATATATTGGGGCTGGAGGTGCCGCAGGGGGCTGTGTTGGGTGGTTGAATTGAAGAGCGAAATGCTCTGCCCAGCGACCCAATCGCCTGTGAATGTTGGTGATCTTCGTGCCGTCTGATTCGCAAATCGTCTGGCTGATAGCGTGGAAATTGCAACCAGTGGCCCTGATGATGTAAAATAGACGGCGGAAGTTGTCAGCTGATGCAGCGACTTCCATCTCACCAGCTTGTTTTGATCACCAAGATTCACGATCAGAGCGAAGACTTGCTTTCAGCTGTTGCGTAATAGACCGGTGGTGTTCGTTGTACTCTGCGCCAGCAGGCACCGCCCGTCGACGATCAAGCAATTCTGAGTATCTTCCTGAGATCCAGCATTTGGGAGTGGAGCAAGTGAGGCCACAGCTGGACAAACCAGCCGACAGCAAGGCTTGTTGCAGACTTGACCAGTGTTGATCAACATCCAGATTGTGAGAGAGCTTTTCGCGAAGCTTTTGTTGGTACTCTTTCTTCATCATTGGGTCCTCCAACTTGCAGGCGTTCAGTTGGGTGTGTTTTGACCTAGGTGAACCACCAAAACGCATGCAAACGGTCGCACACACCAGTGCATGATCAGTATCGACGCATGTAGACCAAAATGATCGGCAGTCGCGTACGCTGTCGCGCCACCTGCGACTTATAGCTATGTGGTCAATCTGTGACCAGCGCTGGGTTGATGATGGGGGGCGCCAAGTGGCATACTGACGTCCAGGATGACGAAAGCTGGTGCTGGAGAGGAATAGTTGGTGATCAGCACACAGACTGAGCAGTCTCTCTCCATTGACTGAGCGAACATCATCATATCCATGCGGTCCTCCGAGGTGGCGCTCACATGGCAGCAGATGACCGACACGCGCGTTGAAGTCACCTGCCAAAACAATGATGTCTGTTTTAGGAGCCCTTAGGAGCAGCTCATGAAGGTTCTGGTAGAACTGGTCTTTGATGATGTCTGAGCTACAGTCAGTGGGTGCGTAGGCAGAGATCACGCTTTTCGATTCGACGTCTGCTGACTTTACAAGAGCCATGGAGCCTCATCGCACAAAGGCGGCTATTGATCGGAATCCAATCAATCAAAGCAGCCTCGGCTCTAGCACTGAGGGCGATTCCAACACCAGCTTGCCCAGATGCGGCAGACTCGGCGTCACCAGAGAGGTGGAGATGGAACCGGGTGCGTGGGTAGAGCGGTGACACCAGCTGGTAGACGGAGTTAACGTCCTGGAGTCGTGTTTTAGTCAGGCAGCAGATATCAATTCCAAAAGTCTCTAGCGTGCGTGCAACTCCAGCTTGCTGACCGATCTGTAGTAATGTGCGTACGTTGAAAGTTGCAAGTTTGAACTGCGTTTCAGGTTGCAGGAGCGAAGATGGGCGACTTTGGGACCGGTAACTCTTTGTTGAGTACTGTGTGGCTGAGTTGACAGATGTCACGCGAACTGGTCCATCAGTGTAGGTGGGATTGATCGTTATAGAGGAATCAGGTAAAATGGGTGTGAATGGTATACGGGAAGGGTAGATAAAATGGTGGCGTGCGCTTGTGCAGTTGGCACAGTAACATGAGTGAATAGCATGGTAGCAGCAAGACAGCGGAGGAATGGTTGTGGTTATAAGTCCATGATTCGTCAGTGGGCGAGATACTACCCGGTTGCCCAGGTCGAAGTAGCTGGTTGTCTTATGGGCCCCACTCCGAGCCTTTGATAAAGGATCTAACCTACAAGGCAGCAGGGCAATATAAAAGTATCGCAACCCGTTGGGAGCCGGTAACCAAACGAGTGGTTCATACGCCTTTAGGACCGCATAGGACCATGGGCCCAACACACCCTTGAATTACAATGCCACTCAGAGAGACGCAAGGGGCAGTGACTTTATTTAGTGGCGAGTCACATCCGCCACATCACAGTGTTGTTAAACGGACATATGTGGCTTTTTATAGGGAGAACGCTTGCCAGGCGAAAACCCACCACTTCCTGGAACACTGCCGCCGAACCATTC